TTTTTTTCATTCTTTTTTTTTTTTGCCCTTTTTTAATAAAAAATTATTATATTGACAATTTTGCCAACTTACAATGATTTCATGTTGACCCGTATGGGTGGTCGAAGGCGAGCCTACTTACTAGTGCATCGATTTAGTTTAGACGTCTTATTTTTTAATTTAATACATTTAAAATTAGTTAGTTATTTATTTTTAATTTTTTCATGTTATCAAATACATTTATTTTTATTTTAAAAAATAATTATCTCCACACATGTTACAATAAATATAGTATTTAAATATTAATTAATTATAAAAATATAAAATTTTATCAAGTAATTATTATTACACTCTTATTTTCTTTAAAAAAAAAAGTAAACCAACTAAATTATAATATTAATTATACTCTCTCCAGTTCTAGATCAATAAACATTTTTAATTTAAAATTTATCTTAAAATAATAATTATTTTTTTATTTTTAAAAAATAAATTTTTTTTATTACTTTCATTTTATGATCTTAACTTTAATTATTTATCCTTTAATTAACATAACTAATTATTTATTTTTTAAGAATAAAATAAATAAAAATAAATTTATCTTTAAATCTTTATTATGAAAATAAAGTTTTAAAAATATTTATTATTTTAAAATAAAGAGAATATATTATAAGTTATAACATGCATAGTAAACGAATAAATAGGGGTGAGTGTTTGGTTCAATTTGTTCCAACCAACTAAAATTTTGGATATTTGAAAAACTTTGAATGTGGCTTATATATTGAATGTGAGCTGAAATTTTAATTTGGTTACAAATTCATGTTATTTGAATTATTTTAGATAATTTGGTTAATTAATTTAAATGACCAAAACTTGTGAATTGTTCTTTACATTTTTGGTTATTAATTTTTTTATTTTTATTATTTTTATTTATAAAAATAATTCCAATAATTTCATATAGACAAATGGTTCTTTTCGACATAAGAAAGTGATTAATAATCATATTTGAATTGAATTTAATTTCAGTTAACTTTGGTTTTATCCAAAATAGTTGAATGAAAATTTAAAATTTAGGTAAAAATTTTAGATTTTTTTGATAATGACATAAGTGTGTGCCCACCCCTAAAAATTAACTATATGCACAATTTAAGTATAACCTTTAAATGAAAATAATTAATTACAAAATAACACGTCATATAAAATATTATACTTAAAAAAAAGCATTAAACATAAATACCAGCATTTTCACAAAATATCATTAAAAGGACTCCTGTAAAAAAATGTTAAATACCTAAACGGAGATTGTAATTGGCAATCCCGTCCTCACTGCCGTAGGCGGAGGGACAAAAGCCAGGACTGTTTATTCCGAAGAAGGAAAGTTGTAAGAAAGAAAAAAAGGATAATAAAAATAAAGGGACACTTTGCTACACAGGTCCAATTTGATTTTTTTTATTAATTTAATATTATATATTATTATAAAAAAATAATAATATAAATAAAAAAATAAAAAATGAAAATTAAAATATAAGATTAATAATATATTTTATATTATGTTTTTTAAAAAATTAAAAAAAATAAATTTTATATTATTTAATAATTAATTTTTTATTTTTTAATTTATGATATTATATATTAATTAATTTAATAATAAGATATAAATTACATTATTACTGTTAAATTTTTATACATATATTATTTCTCTTAAACTATATATATATACTAGTACTAGTAGTAGGTTCACAGATAGAGCCAGGTGTCAGTTAAGCGACAACCTCAAAAAGATATGGCCTGATCGTGAACGGCCACCAAGGCCGGGTGGTCCCACAATAAAAAAGGAATCTAGACACGTGTAAGTTTTTGGCGTATGGTCCCACAAAAACAGTGACGAGTACCATGTACCACCCCTTTGTGGCTGTGGTTATTGCGACTAAAGAAATGTTTTGTTTTTTTTTTTCACATTCGATTTTAGATTATATGAGGAATAATTTTCTTTTATTTTTAAATTTTTTTTATTTTACTCAAAACTTAAATTTAAAAACTCTAATTTCAAATTTCAAATTTTTATCCGTGAACTGAGGTGTGACTAAAGAAATGTTACAGCAACTCAAATATGTA